AATTATAAAATTCATGCTATACGCACAACCAAAAAAAGATTCTGTATTTCCATAAGTGGGGTAAAACTATGGAATAATTTAAGTGTGGACATAAAAAACTGTAAGAAAATTGATGAGTTTAAACACAGATATAAAGGTATGTGTCAATCAAGATATGGGCAAGAACAGGCTTAACGATTAATCAGGTGGGAGTGTGGATGTAGAACAAAATTATCTATGTAGAGATACTGCTTGCAAGCCAATGATGATAAGATGATGTTAGGGGGTAGGACTAGATAAGTCTGACTTCTTCCTACTCCGTTCAAGCATGTACTAGGTATAAGCAAATTGAAAATATATTTGTGGATTTGTCTGGAATTATGTGTGGTTACATACTGACTGTTGTTACATGTTTGAATGAATAAATAAATAAATCAAATCAAATCTTTGCTACTTCCTGCTCTACAATATTCACCTCACCACCGATCCGGTATAGAATTCACACTGATGATTCGCATTTTTAAATTTGGCATGTTTTTACGCTGGATGCCCTTCCTGACATAACCCTGTCTATTTATCCGGGCTTGGGACCGGCACAGAAGTCACTGGCTTGAAACCCCTGTAGTTAGATTACCTCTACTTGGGTACACGTTGTCATAATTAGGGGAATAAGGTGGTGGATCGATGGTTGGACTGGGATCATGTGGTTCGGCAGGAGCTTCGGTTCTGGGTCTTGCATCGCATAACCAATATTATTCTCTTTTCCTGTTAGTCCCTAAGGAATACACTTTCCCTTCCTGCTTACCCTATTTTCTGCCTCTTTTAACTCTGCTTCCTCATAACCATGATATTGTAGGGTTTTTTCTTCGTTCCCCTGCAGCATTTTTCAGTGTCACATACCAATCTTGTACATTTTCCTACTTGTAGTTTTCCATACCTTTTACCGTGTCACATACCAATCTTGTACATTTTCCTACTTGTAGTTTTCCATACCTTTTACCGTGTCACATACCAATCTTGTACATTTTCCTACTTGTAGTTTTCCATACCTTTTACCCCATTTTTCTAAGTTTTGCACATTTTTTTTTTCACATTCATTGTTATATCACCTGTTTCGGGGGGCCCCCTCCTGTGGTTTACAACAACTACAGCACTGTCCCATGTTTTTTTTTTTACCCTACTTTTATTACTATAAGTCCATTACTATATTATTGTTAGGTCCTTGACCTCTTCCTAGGGAAACATTTTTAATGTGCACACAGAGTTCTGTAGTCTTCTCACATAGACTATGTACTGTATGTTTATATGTCTTTTCTTGACTCTTGGGAAGTCCTGAGTGGACACCCGAACATGTTAAGTCTTGCCCTGACTCTTGGGAAGTCCTGAGTGGACACCCGGATACCTTTTTTTTTTCTTAAAACAAACAGAATTTGTCCTACCTTATTTAGTGACCTCGGCCCCTTGTCCTCTCAGAAATCACTCCTCTCCCCTCCAGCAGTTCCTGGACTCTGCTCAAAGCGTCTCCTTAGTGGAGACAGGATGGAGGACTTTTCAGTCAGGAGTCCCATATCAGGTCCAAACCTGGAGGAGAGAGGGGGTCTTGGGATCCGGCTCAAAGGACCAAGCTGTTAGGGTTAAATTGACAATAGACAAAGCAGATCGAGGCCACTTAGGTGAACAATATAAGGGTTTAATTATTCTTGCAGCAAGGCAGCATTCAATACATACAATATGGTTGCATGAAGAAAATGCTCAGAGAGGCGGTCTCTCTGAGGGTCATTTACCCAGTCAGACTTAACAGTCGTGGCAACTTCTGCTTCATTGTTGGCTCCTGGAACAGGTACTGACTGCTTATGAGAACTGAGTTGGTGTAAGCACACAACAGCACCTTCATCTGTTTTTGTGCCAAAACCCCACAAGGAAACACTTTAATTACTTACAAACCTTATGAATTAATAACTTAATGAGTTAATAATGTCAGTCCTGTGTGTTTTGCAGGAGGCCACTGAACTGGTATCGTAACAATGAGGCGAACTGGAAGTGGATGTGTTCACGACCCACTGGGAAGGTTTGCTACACTGCATTTAGCAACATGTCGGCACCTGAAACATCCAGTAAAACACAACAGTTAGGCATGCACCGGCTGAGCTGTCAGAGAAACATCCTGGAACATGACAAATTAGAGACAAACGTCCCGGAAATACTGAGATGTCCTGAATCAAACAGTAGGAGCCAGTGTTTGTTGGGGACTATTTTAAGCAGTGGATGAATCCACATTCAGTCTCCAGTGTTAGTTTCAGTGGGTCTCTTCATGGATTTTGTTGAGCAAAATGAAAACAGAATTTTTCCAGATTTATCCTTCAAACCCCAAAGCTTCTGAAAATCTGTGTGGGTTCAGGTTTCAACACCAGTTGTTTAAAACTTAAGTTTTAGCCAGGACTTTTGTAGCTTGATGCTGTTTTCATGGTAACATATCACAAACACTGCACACATCCATTCACATTCCATTCCATTTATGACCTTCCCTTTTGTACACAAACTGTGCAACCTGATCATCTTATTACATCATTTGAGAGTTTGTAATTTTAACTTTGGACTGCATCCATGATGAGAAAGTCGACCGCCTGTTTGCTTCTGTGTGCGTCAGCTGCTGATGCCGGCGCTGATGGTAACAGCAGGTAAAGACCCCGTGCTGCTGCCGGCCTTCTCCGAGGGAATGGAGGACCAGGTAAGAAAACCAGCAGCAGACACTTTGAGTACAGATGACTGAAATCTGACGCCTGTTGTTGGTTATGTGTAGATCCCGAACCTGAGCAGAGCACACATCGAGGAGTGTGGACACTGGACTCAGATGGAGCGACCAGCAGAGACCAACAACATCCTGATATCATGGCTTAAAGAAACACACAAGAAGACTGGGAGAGTCACTGCGGCACCCAAACTGTGAGAAGGGTGGTGGTGATATGAGGAAAAATGATAAAATCAAAGAGCAGCAGATGAATCCTGCAGTCATTAAACACATAAAATAAAAGTCAACAATTCAACAAAGTTTGAAGTTAAAATGTGTTTTCTTCAGCTACACAGCTCCTTAGTCAAAGCATCAGTACCACACTGGGTGGATCCAGAGCCACGTTTAAGATGGTTTCTGTTGTATCAATCAACAAAAACAAACTGCTGTTTACACAATGTTGATGTCAGAAATGTTAGGGGTTGGTTTCCAAGATTGATTTGACAGGTTTGGACATTTTTATTCCAAAAAAGACAATCACCATAAAACAGCTGAGGAAGAAATAAGATGAACCTGAAACACCCTATGACATGGAAAAAGGAGAAAGGTGGCGTGATAAACTGTAGCACCAGCTGGTGAAAACACAGAGGCCAGATATGAGAGGACACAACTCACCTTCTGTGGCAAAACTAGGAGATTTCAAGAGTAAGGTTTTATTTTCAGACAAAACTCTAAATGCCAAGAGCATGAGAAGCTGTGATACTGAGGTAGGTTGTAATTTTATAAGAAAAACTCGTACTATTACTGCAAGTGTATAAAATATACACACAATACTACAGCATTATATAACATTTTTAACTTTGTCTCAAAATATTTCAGTATGTTCTTTTGTAACAAGACTTTTTTCCTAAAAATATTCAACTATATTCTTGAAATTTCACATTTCAACAACACTCATATTTAGCAATTTTTTAAAAGTTTTGTTTTATAGTAATAAAACAGATGCTCGGTTAATATCAACAAACCTGTTCTAATGTGTAAATCTGTTTAGATACCAGCAATGAAGAATGATTTAAGCAGTTAGTTTTATTTCATATTACAATAAGTTACAGCACTGACACTTATGAAATATACCTGGGTCACATTTAGAGACAAACTGGGAGATTCTGAAAAGAAAGAATTAAAAAGTCAAAATGAGAATAAAGCTGTAGGTGAATTTGATCAAATGACAAACATCTTGCTACTTTATGAAGAATTATTCTAATAAATTAAATGCTTATTTTGAAATATTATGACTTTATGACCACGATTTCACTGTAATAACATCCTGACTTTTTTCACAACGTCATTCTCCAGGTTTACAGAAGAGCACAGCCGCTCAGGCATCAGCAGCGCCCTCTGCTGGTCTGGGGTTCACAGTTGCTTCTGGTCAAAGAGCTTCTTCCAGGCCGGCATGATGTGCTTATAAATGGCCTCTATCTGTAACACACACACACACACAAACACACAAACACACACACAGACACAAATCAGCGTCATCTCATTGGACGTGCTCTCAGATTAATAAGGACGCCTGCACCATGGTGGAGCCTGTAAATTCTATAAATACTAGCCATACAAACATGTCCACAGTACCTGCACAGTCAGTTCTCATTGATCCGCCTTACCAGTGAACATACTAATGTGAATTCACGTTTTACACAGGCAGTGATGGAAGAAGGATTCCGATCGGTTACAAGTCCCACATTCAAACTCTTAGTTAAGTATTAGCTTCAAAATACACTTAAGTACCAAAAGTACCCGTTATGCAAAATGGCTCATGAATGTGTACAACATGTTGACTTTATATACTGCTGGGTGGGTCAATAAACTCCCAGCCTATCATAATGCAACACAGCAGTAACATGAGTAATCAAATAAATGTTAAATAAATAAGGCAGCAGAAGAGATATATTCAAATGCAAACACCTCACAAGTTTAATCCTAATGTACTTAGTTACTTTCCACCACTATCTGTAAAATTCACATGGTTTTATTGTGAAAATGTATCAAAATAAGTCAAAGCTTCCAGATGAAGCTGCATCTGGAGGCTGAAGGCCAAACATGGCCGCTGGTCGCTGCCTCTGTTCAGTCACTGACCTGCTCTGACTTCTTG